GCAAGCAGAACAGACAAAAACCTGTCCATATGGGGCTCACATTCTAATGGAGAGGACAGGATATAAACCAATAAAATGTAATCTGTCAGGTGGTGGTGAAGAGTATGGAGAAGGAGGGACAGGAAGAGAGTGATGGTGGGGTGTGCACTATTTTTTTAAAGTTGATGAGGGAAGGCCTTGTTGATAAGGTAATATCGGAGCAGAGACCTTAAGGACGAGGGTAGCCAGTCGTCGGGGGGAAATAACGTATCAAGTGCAAGTGTCTTGAGAAGGCTTGTGCTTGGCGTAATTGAAGCGCTTGGGGTAACTGAAGCGCAGCACAGAAGCCAGTAGGCTCAGAGCACAGTGAGCTGGGGGAGGTAATGGGAGGTAAGTGAGGTGTGATCAGAAAATGTAGGGCCTTGTGAGTCAGTTTTAGGATTCTAACTTTGACTCTGGGGGAGAAGGGGAGCCACTGGAGGGCTCTGAGCAGAGGAGGGGCATGATCTGCTTTACATTTTGGAGGATTACTGTGGCTGCTGGGAGGAGACTAGACTGGGGTAGGCGGGACAAAGATGGAAACAGAAAGACCAATTAGAACGTTTTTTGCAAGTCCAGGTGAAAGATTGTAGTGGCTTGGACTGGGATGGTACAGTGCAGATCATTGGAAATGGTCAAATTCAGGATCTATTTTAGAGGTAGAGCTGTCTGGTTTTGCTGGTGGATCAGGTGTGGGATGGGAAAGACAGGAGGAGTCAGGGAAGATTTGGGTTTTTGGCTGAAGTGACTGGTAGAATGGAGCTGCCCCTTACTAAGATAGGAAGACTGGGCAATCCCCTTAGGACCTCCCCTGGCCTTTGCCTCTGATGGTTAATGGCCTCATTCTCTCCATACTTCCCAGTTCTGTGTCCTAAGAGAGCGGAACTGATGGGCTCGGCTTGGATTGGTGCTTGAATCCAATTCCGTACTAGTCACAGAGTCATTGGTACAAATATAGCGTCTACCTGGGCAGGAGGGGCTGAGAATGGGGCAGTTTCCTTAAAGGAGCCACTGTGACGAATATCATCTTGACATTCCCAGCACAGTGTCCTGGCTCTCAACTACTTTTAAGCTTCATCTCCTGCCACCTCCCCTGACCCCCTCTGTCTCTCCAAGACACCTGATACTCTAGCCACATTTTATCTGGTATATTTCCATGCCTCTGTGTCTTTGCTCCTGCTGTTCCCTCAACCCAGGACACCTTCTTCATCCGTTTCTTTTTTTTTTTGCCCTGAGCTAACATCTGTTGCCAATCCTCTTTTCCGTGAAGAAGATTGGCCCTGGGCTAACATCCATGCCCATCTTCCTCTACTTTATATGTGATGCCGCCACAGCATGGCTTGACAAGCCGTGCGTCGGTGCGCGCCCTGGATCCCAACCTGCGAACCCCGGGCCGCCGAAGCTGAGCGGGTGCACTTAACTGCTGTGCCACTGGGCCGGTCCCTCTTCACCCATTTCTAACTGTCATAGTTGGTGTACCGCAGCTGGGAACTGTGTGGGGGTGGGGTGGGGACAGGACTAACAGAGTCAGAATTAGGTGAGTTCTGGGGAAAACTGAAGCTGGAGAACAGGCTCTGTTTGTGTTTGGGGTATGTAAGCGGGGCTGCGGTTAGAAAAGGCAGTTGGTCAAGGACAATAGAACATGTTTTGGGGGCCCTCAAGCTGATTCCAAGGAGAAATCAGCACCCCAGGAGGGATGCAGCATGAAAGCTTCTGGGCAGAGGTGGTCACTGTAGACAGTGGATACTTGCTGTCAAATTTGGTATGAAAAAGACCAGAAATAGAACAGAAGGTAAGAAGTTCTGGTGGGACCCAGGTAAGAAGCCCTGGCTCCCAATTTGGTGGATTGAGCAGGGCAGGGCTCAGAGTGTGGGGCACCTGGAGGCAAAGCCAGGCACTGGGGGCCAGGTAGCCTGCTACATATAATGGTGGGAGCATTGACTGGGCCAACCCACTGTCCTGACAACTTCCAGGAACTCACTCACTGGGCATCAGGCAATAGTCAGGAGTTCTGCCATGCTTGGTTTTGATGGGTTCTGAGAAGGATCTCTGAAGTGGGGTGCACATCTTCCAGGGGGTGCAAGATAATTCATTTAGGTGTGAGAAGAGAACATTAGAACTTCTATTTCTATGTATTCCAGTCTCATCCTTTTTCTACTTTATATCTTATAAAATTCATAACATATTAGTCCAGTAGTACATTTATGGAATTTGTAAATAAGTAAATATACTGGCAGTACACATTCAGAATTCTTCTTACTGCTAGGGTGTACAATCAAAGAAGTTTGAAGACCACTCTTCTAGGAGACTGGTGGTCAAGAGGGGCAGCACCGGGCAGGGTGGACGGTGGGACTGTCATTTGCGAAGATGGCAATAGGGAGAAGACACAGGTGGGGAGGGAGAAGGAAGAACATGGACTTGATGAGGGGCTTGCTGATTTGTTAGGGGGTCCTGCAGTGTCATGATGTGGGTGAGGCTGGGCAAATAGGCTTGGGGAAAGACAGGCCTCTGGGATCCTGGCGAGAAGGGGGCGTGTGGGAGACACTGCCTCCAGTCAAGGGGGAAGGTCACTCCTTAGTTTGCCTCCAGGCCCTGCTTGCAGCCCCCCAGCCATCCCTGGCAGCTCAGAGCTTCAACAGCCTTTCAAGTGGGAGGAGGAAGAGATGGAAGCTGAGCTGGGCAGGTTCCCCAGGGGCAGAGAAGGAAAGTATCCAAGGGCAGAGACCAGGTGGAGCTCTGGCCTTTGTTGGAGGGCTGGAGTTGGGAAGTTGCTGATGGGGTGGAGAGGGGACCCCTTGCAAGTAGCTCAGCTGCAGCCTGTCCAATCCTGGACAATCACTCCATCCCTTCCCAAAACAGGAACAGAGATACAGCGACAGACACACAGATCCTTCACTGCAGAACCAGGCAAAAGAACAATAAGGCGCAAGAAAAAACAAACAGTTCTCCCACTTCCCCACCCCCTGACCTATCCAGGGCCATAAAGACCCACGCAGACCAACAGAAACTGAAGCCACCGACCGACAGACGTAGGCGCCTGCGCGCCCTCTCTGGGACACACCCGGACAGCACCAGTCCTAGCTGCTGCTCGCCAGGGCCCCGGGGACTCCGCAAGACACAGAGGGCGCGCGAGGCCCCGTGAGCCAGCTGGTTCTCCCCGAGTCTCCGCGGGGCTAAGCACTGTCCGGGCTCGGAAGTAAATGCTCAGCGAGGAAGCTCGTGGCAAGCGGCTGCGGTCTCTGTGGTCTCTGTGCGGACTCGGGGGATAAAATTGAGGCAGCGCGGCTAAGCGGCGGAGGGAGATAGAACAATAGACAACCCCCTGCCCATGGGGAGAGGGCCTCAGACGTCGCGTTCTGAGAGCCTGCACCCTAAATCTGGGTGCGGGTGGAGAGGCAGGGCGACCGAATCGGGCTGGTATAGATGCGTAACTCGAAGTTACTCTGAAGTTTTGTAAAGCGAAAACTTCCTGCCCCAAGGGCAGGGGTGGGTAGGGATGGTTGGGGGACGGTGGCTACTGAAGGGCAGGCTTGTCTGGGGCTTTGCCTCCTTTCAGCTGCCGCTAAGATCGCCTCGGCCAAGGGGTAGGAGGGGGCTCGCAGTGGGAGTGTAGGTAGGTGGATCATTGAGGGGGTCATTTAGGATCGACCATTGTGAGGGGAGGGCTGTCCCAGAGACAGGGAGAGACAAACCTGGAGCCATGGGGAGTGCCATACAAAATTTTATTATTATTTATTATTATTATTATTTATTATTATTTATTTCTCATGTGCACAAAAGAAGAAAAAAAAAAGAAAGAAAATCAAAACGAACCGACGCGCTGAAAGTGGCTAAGGAGACCAGAGCTGTCGAGGGATCTTTCGAGGGTTCAGCTGGGTCCTGACTGTGGGGCCCCTGTCCGGCCAGCCCCACAAGGACTGGGATGGGCCGGGCCTCGGAGTTCGAACCTTGGCGCTCTCGCCGCCTCGCTCCTCGCTCGGGCCACTGGAGCCTGGCTGGGCGCCGGCAGTTCCCTTAAACTATTCTCTTTTCTCGTTTTCCTTTTCAAATAAAAAGGCTCGAAGGGGAGAGAGATCTGGGCGAGGACTCCAAGCCTTTTCGGATTTGTTCAAGGATTTTTATTTATTTATTTTCACTTTTATTGACTTTGTTTCTGTTATTTCGAGTCGTCACGATCCACGGGTGAGGAGACATGCAGGGCGCATCGCCGCTACCGAGAGAGCAACTACGGGGCGGGGCGGCCCGGCCGCCGGCGGCCCAGGGCACGTGGGGCACGGCCGCGAGGGGGCAAGCCCGGGGGTGGAGCTGCCACCTCCGATCTGGCCTGCGAGGGCAAGGCGGCCGGGGCAGGGCTGGGGAGAGGCCGAGGGAGGGACAGAGACAGAGAGACAAAGACGGAGAGAGACAGAGACGGAGGGGGAGAGAAGCAGAGAAGAGGCCGAGATGGAGACAGGGAAGAGATGCGGAGGAGAGAGCGAAAACACGGAATTACAGAGAAATAGCCAACAAAACAGAGGCGAGAGGAGTCCACAGGACTATGTTCGTCATTTTGCATAGAGATTTCTTTTCTTTCATAATTTTTTTGTAACATAAAAAATGCCCCCCTCCCCCAGGACGTGCTGTGCTTTAGTGGGCGTGTAGCTGTTCCCCCCTCCCCCCAGCGAGCGGCGACTCTCACAGCACAGACAGCGAGGCGTATCTACAGGCAGGGCGGGCGGGCAGCGGGGACTCTACCGGGCGGGGCGGGGCGGGGCGGAGGGGGCGGGGTTATATACACCGAGCTTTGCCTTCACACGACACACCGTCTTTCTACAAAGCAGCAGCCTGTTGGGTTTTTGTTTTTTTCCATTTTGCATCATATTAAATAAAT